ATCTCTGGATCTTCCCTCAATACCATCGGCGTTCTCTGGCCATCGCCGTAAAACGACGATTCTCGCCGGCGATTGTTTCTCGCGAATCGATCGATGGAGTGAAAGTCTGACAGCAGAAGCTCGATCACATAGAGCATCGATTGGGATCAGAACAGAGGAGGTAATCACTGATTTGGCTTGTTTCTTCATCTTTGGAAAATTGAAATTGTTCAAGTCTGGAAATTTTGTTACCCAAATATGCAAATAGAGTTTGGTTTATTGGAAGATATAAGAACCTCATACACTGGTCTTGTTAGGCGTTAATCTTGATTTCTCAAAGCAAAGCTCTTCCCAAAAGAAAAAACTTTTGAGAACTATTCTTCACAGACCCTAGTGGAAGAGCTCTCTTAGTTCTTCATTGTAACAGTTTCTGAAGCATTCTTCTTTGATGTTACTTGCTTAGCTAGTGCCTCTAACGCTACATCAACCGAATCTGGCAAATCATAGTTAGTTGCGTTTGGGTGCGCATAAGTCAGTCTCGGTATCAAATTGATGACTGTTTCCCTCATTTTAACCACATCGCTCTCCGAGATCCTCGAGAGCTCGTGTTCTATCTGAGTGCTGTTCTTATTGTCCATGAACACTGAGTAACTTCTTCTGTCGTCAGGAAGATACCACATGTACTGTGTATACATAGTGTGGGGTGAAAAAAAGACCGGTATGCATCCGGCTAACATTGCATCGAATGTTGACCTGCGCGTGAACGAGTCCCCTGGTGCTTGTAGGCAGAACCGTGACCGAGCCATCACTCCTAATACAATCATCGGGTCGTGGCACCTACATTGACCAAGTGATTAAGCTTAGAAGATATGCCTGAACAAAAACACATCCCTAACTTTTATGACTCAAATTTAAAACATTTTCTGATGAAGACTATGACAATAGATACATAAAACACTATGAATATAGTTGCACAACTAATTCTTTCTGTTAGGCTTCCTGACATACTGATCTAGTCAAATAAATTGAGAGAGTTAAACCAATGAAAATGTAATGTAATAAAGTAAAACGAATGTGGCAGTAGTTGTCAATAAATAGTGTTGAATTGATGATTATGGACCCCTTCAACGTGGAAATTGAGGGTCAGTGTAATAAATACTAATTAATTGTGTAACGCACTATTACAATTACAATTTACTTATTGTCGAAGGAAAGAAAAAAAAGGCAAATTGAATGAAAGGTGTCTAACCTGGACCCTCCACTTTGACACTTGAGTAGCTCACAGCGGCTCGAGCCGGCACATTGTCTGATCAGCTCGTCCCTAATGGCTGCTTTCTCCAAGCCCTTTCTCGGACCACCGACAAAACTAAACAAGTGTGGTCTCTCGACTCTTCTCATCTTGTCTTGCCACGTCACCATCTCTGCTGACGTGTACGGGTGAAAATAAGAAGGGTACGGTAAACCGAACTGATTGTCACCTTTCCACGGTTGCCTCTCCACGGTCAGAACCGACATGTTCATGACACGTGGCATTTGCATGAGCATGTTTGCACCAAAGTCAGGGTCTTCACTTGATCGCATGAAATCCCAAGCGGTTCTTCCAATCGCCAAGAAATGATCACGACCGTTGGTTCTCTTCCACCATCGTTGACCACTAACGTAGTCGACTAATCTAACGGCTAGCTCGTCGCGCTTCGTTAGGTTTTGTTCTCGGAACACGCTTGAAGAGTAGAGCCCACCGTAAAAAGGAACGTAGAATATGTCGGCTTTGTCTGGCTCAAACGTGCGGCACGGGTGGTTCAACGCACGTGCGTGGAAGATCATCTCGGCTATGAACTGGTGCGTCGCGAACCACGTCCCGCGGCTGCCGCCGCGACGGAGAGGCTGACCGAGACCGTTGTTGGCTACGTGCGGACACATGTCCGTGTAGATGTTCAAGTGTCGGCAGTTTTGGAGGAGGCCGATGTTGAACTCTATGGGAAGATCGTAGACGTAGACGGTGAAGTTTTGGTCGCACTTGCGAGGGAGTGTGGATGGGGATTTTTTTGTTTGTGGTGGAGATGTGAAAGGGAGAAGGAGAATTAGGAAGATGAGAGAAATGGAGCACAAGAGAAGAAGAGTTTGAATTGTTATGAACTTAAGGGTTTCTCTGTTTTTAGGGTATTTCTCTTTCTCCTTCTCCGGCCAAAGGTCGATCTTGACATGTTTCTTAGTGTAAGACATGGCAATTG